GTGTCAGACTAAGTAGGCCACAATAACCAGTAGCAGTAAACACTAATATAGAAAACAAAAACCCTTATAACCGTGTTTTAAACAGGTTGGGCCTGGTCCCCACACCAAAGAGTCCCCAATCCGCAAGTATTTCTCAGATACTCAGGGGGATGAACCACATCCCTCTTGCTCCTCTACTGGCAGTAACACCACCAACCTCCTTACGTCCCTGTGGAGAATGGTGGAATGACATGGTTCCCTGTCCTTCCTTGCCTGAGACCAGTTGATGGGACGACTACAACAAATCCTTACTTTGACGTCTCGAAAAACACCCCGGTGATCTGAATCTGCCTCCTCCACGCGGCCCAGCCTGAAACGGCCCCTAAGTGTGTTCTGATTTGCCACCCAGACAAGGTCCCCAACAGAGACATTTCTCGCCAGGGCATGCCATTTTTGCCGAACAAACAGGTGCGGCCCGGCCAACTGACTCCACCGTCTCCAAAACTTGTCCACTTCCACCTGGACTGCACGTAGACGACTGAATGGGTAGGCAGGGAACTCAAAACCTATGTTGTCGCCTCTGGGTCCTGCCCGACCCAACAGCAAAGAGTTTGGTGTCACAACATCTACAATTTCTTTCTGAACTTGAGCTCTGGCCCCGATAGGCCTCTCATTGGTGAGGTTGGCCACCAAATAGAGGAGGGCTTGGAATTCCAGAGCAGTCAAGTTTCCCTCCTCACCAGCGTTACTCAACGCCCTTTTCAACACGCGAACAGCTGCCTCTGCTGCTCCATTCCGGTGTGGGGAGTCCGCTGTACTAAACTCCCACATCCAGTCAGAACCAACTATGGCTGCCTTTCTTTGGATCTCTTCTTTGTCGATACTCGCAAGGAAATCGTAGAGCTCCTTCAGTGCAGGTTTAGCTCCCACGAAATTGGTCCCCTGGTCAGACCAGAGTTTCTTGGGGTGACCCCTCAGAGCAGTAAACCACTGGTATGCCTTCAGAAAGCCCTCAGTTGACAGATCTTCAACTATGTCTGCTTGAACTGCTCTTGAGGCCATACAGCTAAAAACCATGCCCTCCTCGCCTTACTGAGCAACATATGCACGAATCAATCACCTTCCGTACGATCCTGGAACCTTGAACTACCTAGCCCCTCTTCCTCATCCGAAGAGGGGTGGCAGAAACACCTTCATGGTTGACACAATGGGCGTCCTCAACAAGGAGAGAGCTTAACCGACACTTGTAGGGGATCAATGGGACCGGTGGTGGTTGAGCGTCGTCGTAGGGAAAGTCACACCAGCTTGGGCAGCGAGGCATAAGTCCTGAAACGCCTCTACTCACTCCTGAGCCGTGGGCACTGCCTCCCACTTTAATCCTACAGCAGTTCGACCCCTGCCAGATAACCAAAAGCACAAGGCTCTGTGGACATAAGCTATGACCCCACAGAGCTTGGCTAGGCAATTGAACCGTGAAAGATCTACTTGATTTATCAAGGCTGAACCCCAGTACTCCTTGATCCTGAAGACATTAGAAGCAACAGAAGAAGACCCTTTTGTCACGGCGAGTGAGAAGAGCTGTGTGAAAAAGGAAAAAGAGGATCAAAGCGCAGGCAGTCGTGAAGGTGTGAAGGTGATTTATTGAACACAAAAATATAGAGAGGCAAACGGCAAAACGGAGAACTAAACTATACTGGGACAACTAAACTACAGAGCATGAACAAGAACACGAACCTGAACATAAAGGAAGGAAGGCGATGGTACATGATGATGATGACGACAGGGAACACATGGATGAAACATGGTGGATACGCAGACGGACCACCAACTACAATGACAGAGGACACGACTTAAATACACACAGAGAAACACAGGGGAATTACACACAGGTGGTGGACACAGCTGGGAATAATCAACAAGACGAGACAGAGGTAAAACTGAACACACTCACATGACGCAGACCTTCACAATAAAACAGGAACAAGAAACCATCACACTAAGACCCAGACTCGACATAGAGAGACTGACAGAAAATGACACATGGAACTAGACAAATACTAAGCAGACACAACCGAAGAACAAATCCTAAACACAAACAGAGACATGAAACTCTAATAATAAACATCATAATCATCATCATCAACACGACAAGAGAACAAGAAAACAATCCCTGATGCAAACTTAAACCAAAACATAATAAACTCAAAATACTGGGTAGAAACTGACCCAGAACCGTGACACCTTTAGTCTCAAAAGACGTAACCTTGTTGCTGAATGGTAAAAGCTCTGGACTTACTCGGCTGCCGACCACGGCTTTGACGCTATCAAAACCATCTGAAGTAGTCTGCACCCTTTCCTACGACCTTGTTAAGATTGCAGAAAAAGCCTTTCTTTGGAGTCAACTGATGACTTCTCTAGTCCCAGAGGCCACCTCTGCAGCCGACTTTATGGGCCATTCATCTACTGGCTTGGTTAGGAACATGGGACCGGTCTGCCATGAAGAGTCCTCACCAAGCTGCTCAGGGGAACATCCTGTTGTGACCAGGTCAGCCACGTTGAACTGGCCAGGAAGCCACCACCAGTCGGTCACAGTCCCGGCCTTCTGTATCTCTCCCACTCAATTGGCAAAGAAGGTCTGGAACCCGTAACTCTCCCGTTGGATGGCACCTAACACAGTCTGACTGTCCAGAAAATGGTACCAATGATCTATTTCCAATCGACTGTACTTCAGAAAGTAACCTTTCAGGCGAGTGGCAAAAACAGCTCCACAAATCTCTGCCTTGACAGCATCTCCCTTTTGTTC